TCTTAGCATCTTCTTGATTGATGACCATGAACTAATTTTTGGGCAGATGTTTTATACTGTCTAGGAGTCTACCAGTGTTATGGAGTGTTGACAGTACTGTTTTATTTGGGCTCCCTAGGACATAGGAAAAATAACTGCTCACTGTGTGTTCTAATTCATTTAGCAAATACATGTCTTCAGTGGTATTACCAGCTTTCTCAAGGATACAGCCACACTCTGTACCCATGTTTCCAACATCCTGCTGTTACCGCACAGGGTCATCTGCCTGCAATGCACCTTAGCAGCCTAGACCTTCTAGGCTTGACAAAAACAACTCCTTTTCAGTTTTATTGCTAGGAATGCTCTCATTTCTTCTTGTGCTTCGATGAACATTTTCTTCCACATTCCATTAAATTCTAACCTATTATTTCTGTGACAAGTCTTGTGCATTGTGTGACTTCACAAAGGTATACATTGTTGAGGACATCTGTTGGTTGATGGTAAGAGATGCTGGAGTAGAACCAGGAATCTAACAATTAGGAATTGCCCATTTTATATTTCTAGAGTACACTGTTCTGATGTGGTTCTCAGTTACATTTTAAGTTTATGACTTAAATTTGACTTCCTCTGGCTGCTCCATTATTTGGAGCTTCTCAGCTAGAACTGGGAGACTCATGTTGAATTTATTCTCCAAAACCCTCTTTCTACTTTCTGGCTTAAAAAACAAAAAACAAACAAACAAACAACTTGACAGTCTGCATGCAGAGTGAGTGATCACAACATTTCATTTGGGTTACTAATGAGGCTTTCATTTAACTTCACATCTTTCTCTGATTTTATATAGCTACAGTTTGCCTTTTAGGCTCCCTTTCCGATTACTGGAAAGTGTTACGTTCTTGTGTCTTACAGAGTGGTTTTATTATCATATAAAGGTTTCATTATTATTACCCATCCCTGGACTAATTCTAGGAGAAGTCTCCATACTTACTTTTTACAAGAAAAGTATTTGGAACATAGATTTAGGCTGGATATTAGGAAGAAATTCTGTCTAACCACACTGTGAGGGTGGTTAGACACTGGAACAGGCTGCCCAGTGACGCTGTGGATGCTCCCTCCCTGGAAGCATTAAAGGCCAGGTTGGACAGGGCTGTGAGCATTCTGGTCTAGTGAGGTGTCCCTTCCTATGGCAGGGGATTTAAACTAGGTGATCTTAAATTCCCTTCCAGCCCCAACAATTCTGTGATTCAGTTATTCTATATGTTCTCTATATGTTCTTACTAGTTTATTGATGCATTTAGTGATAGAGCAAATAATGCAAAACAGATGTAAATAGTTACATTTTTGTGAATTAATTATGTTTTTTGTGAAATAGCTACAATTTGTGCTCAGGAGGCCTTTAAATTGTTTTGGCTACAAATGTTTCCTTTTTTTTTTTTTTTTTTGATGACTTTTTTTTTTTTAATTTATTTATTTTTTGCTAATAATTGAGGGGAAAAAAAAAAAAGAATGCATAAATATATATAATCACTGTTAACATCAGCACTTTTTCTGCAGTTCTGACGGAATCGCTCTTTCCCTTGCCGTATCCTCATGATAACAGCAATGCCTCATTCCACTCTTAAGTAATTTAATAACTTCACAACCAACTCCTACATTTGTGGATCCCAAAGGCAGATGAATTTTACAAATACCTACTCACTGGAAATGGAAAGAAATAGAGTTTGATTCATATTGTCTATTTTACGCATCATATATGTGCCTACAGTGGCTTTAACTGCAATGAAGCTTGGCATGGATGTACCATTATTAAACCCAATCATCTTTCTCCTCTTGGAGAAATCTCTTCTTTTTCTCCATCTAATTGCTATTATGATGAAACTGGGTCCCCTGTCCAAGTTTAGGTGTTGCTGCAAAGGATACTGTGCGCGAAGAAAGTAGGAAGTGAGATAGAGAGCTATTCTCAAAGGGACTCATGATGTATATTCTGATGGCAAAGTCTTCCTGACAGCAGGGGTTCATAGGAAAAAGGATCTACAATTAAATATGCTATTTGGTTTTGATTTTTTCTACTCGGCAGAGAAAAGAACTGGGATTGGAGAACAGATCTTGATCCCTGTTTTTCCCTAAGTTTCAGTGATTATCTGTGTTTAAAATAGAGTAATAAATAGAGTAAAAATCTCATATACTAATGTGATGTAGCCAATGAGAAAAGAGATCCACAAACCTTCTGCAGGTCTTAAAACTAAACAGAAACCTTTCATATAATTGGAGGTGAACCTGTATGGTATTGATCTTCCCACCTATCTCTTCCCACACCCAGTCCCCAGCCTTTCAGAACTTGACTGTGATTCATCTTGTCTCTTTCAGTTCTCTGTAGAGATCAAATGACTCATGCTCTAAAAGCCTTTAATGAATTCCCATTGTTTATAAAGGTAGCATAGATGATTGGCATAAATGATGAGCATAGTTGATTGATATCATTTGGACAGATGAAATCTGCCCCAAACTTTTATTGTAGTATACTTTCCTAATGTCCTAGCAATTGACAAAAATAATTTCAGTAAAACTAAGCGTTGCCAAGATTCCATTCCCCATTCTTCCTAAAAAACAGTCTTTTAAAGCATGGAAGTATGATGGACCTAGATTGTTATTAGGTGGGAAAGCCACGGAAACTCTCTTCTTCAGTTCTGTCCAGCCCACCCTCACTTTTTTTCCCCACAGTAATTCCCCATGCCTTGTTCTGCTTTTTTATTCTTTTTTATACTCTCAGCCAGTTATGTGGATCCCAAAGGCAGACCCAGCTTACAAACAAAATGTAGCCCCATGCATTGTAACACAATTATATTTTATGTCCATGAGAGAAGCAGAGTACGCCTTTCATCATTGTAAACTTCACTTTTGTAATGGCATAGCATGTTACAATTTTTTTTTTTTAATTTTATTTTTTGCAGTTTCATATGTCAGTTGTGATATAACCATGCAAACAGCAAACACTACCATTTCAGCGCTGCAGGAAATGGAAGCTATGGTCTTTACTTCTATTACACTACAACAGGACCAGGCTGAGTTAGGAAACCATCTGCATAAAATACATCACAGCTATATAGCCAGAAATGATCTTGCCCTTTACAGTTATAATAAAGGAAAAGATTGAAGCTAATCTTCCCACAGCTGTGCCTTAGGTGAGCAGTGGAGCTGAAGGAAGCTCTGCAGCTGCACTATAGCCCACTCATCGCATCTCTCAGAGGTTCATTTTACTGGTAGAAATGTGCATTTTGTTGTTGGTTTTTTTTCAAAATGATGATAATTATGTCACCAATGAACACTATTCAATCTCTGTTCCTAGTCTACAACTAAAGTTTTAAAGGGAATTTTAATTCTTGGTGTTTTCTTAGAATGTCTTTTTGTTTCTTCAAAAGCACTCAACAGGGTAATGAGCAAATTCATCCATGTAGAAGAAACCACAGTCTTTTTATCCTTGTAGCTGTCCCAGAAGTAGAACACAAATAGTAACAGTCATCACCAGCATTAGCTGGAAATTAAATAAAGCTTTATTTTAATTATCTCATATTTCTGAATTAACTTTATGTGTATTGTTAATAGCCATCTTAATTAAGTAAGCAGTATTTCAATTTGAGATATAATTTCAATGGTTTCTTTTTGTGATTTACTGTCTTGACGGTATCCATTAAGAGTCCATTATGTTATCTGACCTCACATCTCTTTTAAACTAAAAATGGCTATCAAAAAAAAATAAAATGAGAAAAAAAGCATAATGTATCAAAAAAGATTTAATTGACTCAAAAAATCTTATCTCTGTATCCATACAGCTGCTAAGGAAACCTGTGTGTATTAAATAAACCTTCACTTAAATTTAGGGCACAAGCAGTCAGCTGGTGGTTTTGTGATAAAATGCCAAGTTCCACGCAGTTCATTTTTTCCTATTGTATTTTCTCTGCTCAGGCTGAAGCTATTACTGCTATGTTTGCTGTAAGATTGACTAAGCACTATGTATTTCATAGATAAAATTAGTAATTATTCTCTATGTAGATACTATTTTTTCTGTGCAGCTAAAAGCGAGATGCCTGGTTGAAGCAATCATCTAAGCAGATTATTGTCAGTAACAGCTTATTTGTTCAGGTAGAAGTTCCCATTAGATCTCTGATCTATAAAAAATAATCTCATGAAGTGGAATTTTTATGGAAATAGAATACAGTGATTTTTGCCTTTTCTCTTGATTGAGAGATAAAAATGTTATTATAAGTGAGAGCAATGATTTGTCTTTTATGTAGCGTGTCAAAAAATGGGAAAAGTATGAAAAGCTCTTACATCTACTGATGTTCTGTATACTTTTCCTGACTCATACAAGCTTGTAGACATTCCTTCAAATTTTGGCTGTTAAAGTCTTCATTACTAGGAATTTCACAGATGACAGAGAGAAAATTGTATGTGCACAAATGACTATCACTTTTTTATATATCCATAGCCAAAGATATTTGTGTCCTAGAAAAACATGCAAAGCATAATTAAATTCAAATATGTGCACCATTTATCTTTTATTTTCACTTTCAATGTGGCACTGCAGAAACTTATAATATCTACAGTAAGCCTCTCAGTATTTTTCAGATTCTGTGGACAAAAATACCTTTCATTTTGTTGTTATAAGTTGTGATGTCTTTTATACTTACATTTATCAAAATAATGTCCAAGCTTAAGGTTTCACTGGCCCCTACAGAGCACAAGACATTGGGGTAGAATCATTATTAGTTTGATTCTTTTTATGACTGCTATCCTATAATTGTATGTTAAAAATAATTTCAGTAATTCATTCGCATGCCTTACCTTCCAGGAAAAGTGAAGATGTACTGATCCATCAAATAACCATTGTTTTATTTGTATTTCTGTAAAAAAAAAAAAAGACATTGCAAATGTATAGTAGATTAAATGTGCTGCCCTAGAACTCTCTCTTTAGTGCTATTTCTTGCACTGCTAATACATTTTTTTTTCCTTTTCTTCTCTAGGTCTGGGTTTCAGTATTGCAGGAGGAGTGGGAAACCAACATATTCCTGGGGACAACAGCATTTATGTCACTAAGATTATTGAAGGAGGAGCTGCACAAAAAGATGGGAGGTTACAGGTTGGAGATAGACTTCTTATGGTAAGTGTGACAAAATTAAATTGCATTTTATATGAATGAAAGTTGTTTCATATTGGTACTTTTATTTTCTATATGTGGTACTGGAGATAACCATTACAGCTTCTCTAATAATTGTTATATTTCTGTTATCTTCATTTTTTTCCCACTGTTTATATGTGTTTCTGAGACTACAGTTAAAAAAACCCACAACATTATACCAGAAAACCAACATTTTGTGAATAAAAGGCAATAGATATTATTACTGTGACTGTCATTTAACTAAGAGGAGAATAAATGCATCATACACATCAGCAGCTAGTCAAAATTCACCACAGAGCTTCTACAGTAAGGGCTTCATTACTGCTCAACTCATTGTATTGATCATTGTAAGAAAGTAGAAAGATGCAACAAAATTCGCTTTCGTAGCCACCACGAGTTGATTGTTACCTATATTTCAGTGGATGGATGGATGCTTCATGTAGATGCTCCATCTAGGTGTTATAAAAGATACGCTTGTCTTGAACTGTTCTTATTTCTCTGATGGATCTTGCTTGGGGAAATTGCTCCTAATATTTGAAGAGCTAGTACCCTGTTCTCTCTAGGTAACTATTTCCCACTCTCAGAGTTTGTTTAATACTCTGTAAGGGAGAAACACTTACTCTGGTGAATCAGCAAAAGTTGATCTATGTCAGGTTGTATTCATGTCAATGCATTTGCAAATATTTCAGCAGGTTCAGAAATAGGTTTTAAATCATTGCGATGGAAAAAAAGTGCACTGCAGTAGCTTGGTTTTATGACACAATGTCTAAGCAGTGAAAAATTGCTGTGACCTTTCTTCTGCCCGTAAAACTATGTCTATGTTCTTTTCTATAAGAAAACTGCATTTTTTTTATTGGCTAGGGACACTGTGTTCCAGTCACATGTAAAGATGACCATTCATTATCTGTGTATTAAACAGAACATAAAAGACACTTACTCAGTTGCTGGATTGGTGACTTTAACCTTTTTTAATTAACCCACACAGGCAGATAAAACAACTAAAAGATCAAATGCTGTTATCAAACTCAAAGCAAAATGAAACTTAACATTTAAATTATATTTCTTCTTTGCAAGTTCTCAGCACACTGAATTTCAAGTCCCTACTCTTTAATGATTTTTGGCTTGTTTTTCTATAGAAATGTGTATTTGTATTTGCCAAAGTTATATTGTATTTTGTTATTTTCCACTTTGTAGAAAATCTACTTGCCTTCAGCTGTTGCTTCTTTTTTTTTTTCCGTGATGAGAATTTTTTCACAATTTTTATGTTATTTGCAAATTTGTATTACCTTATTATAATTTTCTTCCCACTTACCTAAAGAAATAAATAATATCTACACAACACAGACAAAAAACTCTTCATTCTCTCTCTCAACATCACTTAATTAGCTGGAATTTCAGTAGAAAAATAGTAATTTCATACATCACTATGTAGAATTTCATTCTTTCTCCTGCATCTGACCTCTGAAAATGACCAGAAGTCATTGCCACTATGTTTGATGTCACATTTCCATGCCACTTTTCTTTTGGTGACCAGTACATTACTTACAATTATCTCCTTTTATCATTTCTGTGTGAAATGAGGGGACAAAAAAAATCATAATATTGCTCTCCACTACCCATATACTTCCAGACCAAGCTTTTCATTCCAAATAGCAACTTGTTCTTTGTATAATTTAACCCTTACATTTTCTACAATTCACGGAGATAAAAAGCTATGTTTTCTGATTCTCTCCAGTAAGACACCTTGATTTCTTTATAGCTTGAGGTTTTTCTGATTTTCCTGAATACTTTCAATATTTTCTCTTTTCTGCCTCAGGTAGTATCTGTCAGTTCAAGCCATTTACTTCATGTACCTTTGTGAAAAGAAAGAATTCATTGCTTTCTTTCGTCAGTCTTACTGCTTTGATCAATGCAGTATTGCTATTATCACCTGTGTGGTCTGTGGCTGCTTCGTTGATTCCTTGTTTATTATATACTTCAACATTTTATTGTTGTTTTTTTTTTTTCCTCACTAGTGCATGCTTCCTCAATCTTTGTTTCTTTCCATCATTTCTCTGTAAAATCTGCTATAATGTGTTAGTCTTACAGAATTGCCAGCAGCTGCTGGAATGGTTGTTTCTTTTTTGTGCCTGTGTTCTGATAAGTCTGAATAAAATGCTTTCAGATTCCAAAGAACATGCAAATAAAATCCATTAAAATTTAAGATGTAATAAAAGACATGCTGCAAAATCAAAACTAATATTGAAATGTAAAACAATGAGATGCCACCTGAGCATTTCACAGTTTGATGATCCTACCGTTATTAAACGCAGATTGCTAATAGTGTGTTAAGCATTCACAAGATGTATTATGTAAATATTGAGCATTGTAATTATTTTGAAATCTATACGAGGGCATATCTGTGCAGTTCTGTTTCTGTGGCACTGAGCCTGCACTTCTATCCTATTATTCTAAGCACTTCCGCATAGAAATTCTCCAGTGAGGGATAATTCTGAGGTAACCAGTAGGAAAATTATTGGAGGAAGCTTAAGAGTGCTCCAGCCAAAAACTGAACTCAGTGGATTTGGTAGGTATATGTAAAATGAACAGACCAGAGCTCTGCTCTGGAGACTTATATCTAGTAGGAAACTTCTACCTATTGTAGACTGGTAGTCATATCCATAGTAATGCCTACAGTGAGATTATGGCTGTACTGGGTGTCTCCACAAGGCTGCTTCTCTTGGCACTGGACGAAAGGAATGTGGAATCATGTATCATCTTAGTCTAGTACAATAATTTAGGTTGAAAGAAGCTCAGGAGGTCTCTAGTCCAACCTCCAACTCAAGCAGATTCAGCTCTACAGTCATGCAGGGTTGGTAAGAATTGAGTCTTGAAAACATCTGGAGATAGATTTTGCACAGCCTCTCTGGGCATCTTGTTCCCTCTAACTGCTTGTTTATAGTCTTCCCTGTTACCACATGCCACTCTGAAAAGCTTAGCTCCATCTTGATGACTGTAAACACTGGAGGTTGCTGCTAGTTGTCCCCAGAGCTGTGATTACTTTCTTTTATCTAATGTTATCATCTCACCTTGGAATTGCTTGCCTGCGGAATGGATAAATGAGAAGTCACTATAAAACTGTTTTTTACTAATACAAAACACTGGTAGTTAGAAGCAAAGTATTTTTCAGGGAAACCTCTAAAACAGTAGAAGTTAAGCTGCTCTCTTATAAGTATTCTGTTAACTCTTCAAATCTATTGCTCCCCAAAACCTTGAATGTTTGGGCCATATCTGTTAGCCTCTTGCCTTCTAACATATGCAGTCAGAGAAATCAGATATTCTAGGGATGTGTACATTTATAAGAAGTGATGTTACTCACACACCACAAGATTTAATTTGATTCTGTTTTCTTCCTAAAACCATAAGGAAAAAAAAAGAGCTGCTTTCTTTTTCCAGATGTTCGTGTTTGCTTGCAAGCCCATTCTGTGCTGAAAAAATACCATTGGGTGGTTTTCCAGGGCTGTGGTGGGTTGCTATTTACAGCTGTCAAACTGTGCCTTATAAGATTCCATACCAGCATCAGTTTCTGTCAGATCACACATAGCTGCAGAATCATTTGTTAAAGTAGTCAGAGTAAATCATTTAAATTTTAGGTGCATCTACATTAGCATTTGTTTCAGAACAGAAAAGATCTTGTGGGGGCGATCTTTGAGGAGACAAACCAAATGTGATTTTTTTGAAAGAAACTACACCAGACAATGTAAACATCCAGCAAAAGCATTCCTAATTAGCACTGCTTTACAGCTGCTAACTGGTGTTCAGTCTGTAGAGCCCAACTACGTATAACCCAAAGTAACTCCCTTAAAACACGTGCAGAGTAGATGCCACTTTATCCACACCCTCTGTTGTTGCAGATCAGTCCTGGTGCACATATTTTTCATTCAGAAAGGCTGATGAAGTACGGACATTACCCAGTTAAAACAAAGGTAGAGCAGTGTGAACAGACAGTACCTGATCTGTTGGTTGTACTTGCTGGCTAGCAGGAAGGAAGCACATCAGAATAAATGTATTTGTATAGATGGAGAATGATTAGTACTGAACCAGCTCTGGGGATTCAGTGGCTGTATCCATTCTGATGCAGCAGTGGGCTCTGAACTAACTTTACTCTGTTGTTGACATTAGACTTACAATACTTTATCTAGCATTCAAAGGTAGATTTGCTATAATCAATTTTAGGATGGAGCCATAGCTATAAGCTCCCGAGTTAATTCCTTCCCAGAATACTTATTGTGTGATCATTCCTACACAGTTATGTCATCCTCATACCATTTCATTGCATACAAAACATTTTTTTTAAAACAAAATCAGTGTAAAAGTGATTGACGAATGATTATTCAATATATGTAGGTTACTCTGAAAGGAATGCCTCCTAATTATTTCCATGTAAACACAGATACAAAAAAAAAACAATAACATTATTTGCTAGAGTAATTTTTCAGCTACAAACTTCTATTTTCAACATTGTCACCACCATTAGCAGTGTGTTTTTGCCAGCAATAAACAAGAGCCTGCAGGCCACGGTCGTAAAAATCTGCACCAGCGAAGCTGCCTCTCTGTTTCACAGCTGTTATGAGGGCATCATTGCAGGAAAATGTTGCCCACATAGTCCATCTTTCATCAGCAAGAACAGATGGAAGTCAGAAGGTGTCAAGTGTAGACTATGTAGTGGGCATGGTAGGACAGTTCAGCCACTGTTTGCTCCACAGTCTTTAAAGTGGTATGGGGCCCTGGTGTTATCATGTTGCAAGAGAAAGGTTGTCGTCTTCTCTGTCTTAACTGGAATTTTGAGCCTTCAGCTTAGTCAGCATCCACCTGGTGCAAACTGTGTGATATTCCAATGTTGCCACCATCATTTCCAATGCACTGAAGCCTACATTCTGCTCCATACATGATTGCCTAGTTGTAATCCACTGATTCACAAAGATGATCAAGATACTCTTCATTCCGTGGTGTGACAGCTGTGCATGCCGGTTTCTTTCTGTTCAGATTCCAGCAGTTAAACAACTATTTTAAGAGTCTGTGGAGTTATGCATAGTTAGTTAACCCAAGCCTCCTTAGAACAAATGATTGGGCTTCAGCTTTGGTGCACTCAGGTGTGCTGAGGGATCTGGCAGAAGTGATTACTGAACCACTTTTGGTGAATGGGTGACGTGCCTGAAGACTGGAGAATAGCCAGTGTCATTCCAGGGACCCTCCAATGTTGCTCCAAAAAGCAGCAAAAACCAACTGGTTGTGAGGTCTCTACAGAGATATTCAAGACTCATCTGAACCAGACTGTGTGATCTATTGTAAAGTACCTGCTTTAGCAGGGGGTTTGATCTTGATGATCACTTGCAGTCCCTTCCAATGCCCATAATTTGATGATTCTGTGATTGAAATACCTTGGTTTTCACAGCTGTTTAAATCATGGTGGGTTTTAAAAAAGGTCGTCAGTATTTCTAGATTTACAGCTGCCAAGCTGCAAGTATTTTCTGGCCAGTGTTCACTCAGGATTTGCTCTGGAAAACCAACTTTCTGAATATTACACTAAAGCAAACATTACCACTGACAAGTTGAAGATCACCTCATTGTCTCATTCACTGAGTGAATCAGTCTTCTTATTCTAAACACATACAGGAGTGGAACAGTTTCCCTTTAAAAAAAAAAAAAATGAATTAAGACAGACTTATTCCTCCAGAGATCTTATTCAGCTATCAGCTTATGCTCTTGTGAATGAAATTATTTTTTAAAGTGTCTGTACAGCCTTTTGGGGAGTTCTAAGCTTTTCACTTCAGCTGCTACTTAATGCCTTTATTTTCCAATATTAATCTAGGAAAACTTCCAAATAATTCTTGCTTGTGTTTACACTTCACTGCTTGATTATGCTATTTAGGAGAGAAAAAGAAAAAAAGAAAAAAAGAAAAAAAAAAAACTGTCTTTATTTCTCTTTGGCAACATTTTGTACTTATTTCCCCCATCACTTCTTTGATTGTACTACTAAGTATTTTAATTTCCTTTATCCTGTATTATTTATTTCTCTTATTATTCTCCTGTTATATCAACATGTCTTCTTATATCATTCCTTCTGTTTGTAGAAACTGCTTTCCAGATTTCTTTGTTTATGTAGACCTATGATATTTGAAGTAGGGTTCTATTCGTTTTGTTTTGTTTTGATTTGATTTCCTCTCTAAGAACATCTTTTATTTAAACAGAAGTGGTAGTTTAACAAAAAGCTCGTCGATTTAGGATGAAACAGGTTGCTCAGAGAATTCATAGACTCTCCTTGTTGGAGATGTTCCAAAGCCACCTGGACGTGGTCCTGGACACCCTGCTTGGAGCGTCCCTGCTAGAACAGGGACTGGACTAGTTGAACACAGATGTCCCTTCCAACCTCGTTCTGTCTGTGATTTTGTAGTAATATACAGACAGTGAGGGAAGGAGGGATAGTGAAGAATAACTATGTAGTGGTATTAACAGAAGTGTGAATTTTCAATATTAGAGATGGTTATGAAATACAGCAGTAAGAGAGGCTAATTTTCAGTCACTGCCGCTTCCTACCAGTCTAGTATTTAAAATATATTTATTAAAAGTGCATGTGTATATGAATGTTGTTCCTGAAATTAAAAAAAAAAAAAAAAAAAAAAGGAGAGAAATTTATATAACGTAGGGATCATACTTCTATTTAAAAAGAAGACCTGCCAAAATGCAGCATACAGTGTCAGGAGCTCTCTTGTGAGCATTAGATTGTATCATTGCTCTTCATGTCAAGTTGTTATAATACGCCTGTCACTGCCTGTTTCAATCAACCTTAAAAGCAAGTCTGAGAATTATGCAAGGATCAAAATTTAAACAGAATCCTTGCATTTAGCAATAATATCTGAGAGCAGTCATTTTCTATTGCTGTTGGTATCATCTGAATATGAACAGTCCTCCAGTGCTTCATAAAATCTGGATTTCTTTCCAGTTACCAATTACCAGTTAATACCTTTGCCAGTAGCTTGGTGTAACAGCCAAGTTTCCTGTAATTTACTGAAAATAAATTCCCTAGAAAGTATGTATTGCCTTATGTGATTTAGTGCTGTACTTTGTCACACTGTAGTTGAGGAGCTTCTTCTGCCATCATGCATAAAGTTTACAAGGAATCCTTGTAATAACTGTAAAAGTTGAAGGATGGTGCTTTATATCATGGTCAAATGTTTCATGTATGACATTCACCTTGAAATGTAGTCTTGTCTTCTGCCTTACACCACACATCTGAAAGCTGTACCTACATTCTTTACCTCTTCCCTCTGTCCTTTGACTACTTTATTCAGGTTGTATACTTTTTGGTACAGGGGCTGTTTAGTATTCTGTTCATAGGAGCACACCTATTGTTGACATTAGTAGATGTAGTGGATTTACATGTGAGTAATTTGTATACCCTTCTACAATAAACCACTTCTGACACTTTGCTTTGAATTTCCTTTTTCTGGCAGTAAAGCATAAATAGTCAAGACTTACTGCCTCCATCCCTCTTTAATCTGTAAACCTGTCCTCTTATCATTGAGTATTATTCTTCTTGGACAGAGCACAGAACCAGTAGTTCATCCTCTTTTTTTCTTAGCATCTTTCTCCTGTGTTTCCAGAAAACTGATTAACTGCTTTCTTTCTTTTCTTTTTTTTTCATTTCCTGCTCCTCATAGACATCCCCTCATTCTTTATATTACTTTCTCTCCTATTATATCAATTGCCAATGACATATTATGGATGAAAAGATTTTGAGGTCTTAAGTATATCTGAGGTCCTAGCCATGTATTCTATGTGATATTTTGGACAGATGAGCTTGGGAGGTCAAATAATACAGGCAATTTCTATAAATGATGTGATGTTATTAAATTATTTTAAAATATAGTTTTATGCTAATAATGATACTGGCAGCAGAATCACAAAGGACTTAACTACTAACAAGACCATCTAAACCCATTATGTTTCTGTGGTATTATCAAAAATAGTACATCAGTATTTGAATATACATGTGCTAAGAAAACTTTATTTCCTATTCTGCTGTACTACTATTACTATAATCTTCAGTGCTCTTTGAGTTTTTCTAACACTGCAAAAACTGCAAGACAGTGTCATTATTCTGTCCATTGCTGCATCCTAACTCACCTGTCTGATTTCTCCTTTAAGGTAAACAATTATAGTTTAGAAGAAGTTACCCATGAAGAGGCAGTAGCGATACTGAAGAACACATCAGATGTAGTTTATCTAAAAGTTGGAAAGCCCACCACCATTTACATGACTGATCCTTATGGCCCACCAGACATTACTCACTGTAAGTGACTATTGCATTTCATTTTCTATGAGATCAGTTGATCAGATGATTGTGGTTTTTTCATAGCTTATCTAATGTATTCTATTAAAGGTTATGAAACAGCTTGGAAGACTACAAAAAATGAAATGTTTATTGCTACTTAAGTATGCTGTGTTTACGAAATATTGTAAATAGTGCAGCTCAACTAAACTATATTTGCAGCAAAAGCAGGAATGTAGATAATGTATTGCTGTGCTGACTCAAATAAGCCGTTGTCTAAGTGATCAGATTAATCTGCAACTCTTGTGACAATTACAGTGGCAAATATATGCAAATGTATTTTGAAATATGATTGGATTTGTAGACAGGAATCCTCTCTCCAATGAAAAATCAGTAAAAACAGCAAAATATCCAAATAAACTCAGTGAAAAGCTTGAGAAAAATGAATAGATATTTGCCTGAAATATTTATTTGGGACGTAAAATCACTATCTGCATAAATCTGCCTTTTTTCCATTTATATCCACTTCCTAACTTCCTGTTCCAGTTTGCGTCATTGTCAGTCTGTCCATTAACTTTACATATGTTCAACAAATGCTTCTCCACTGAAAACTTTGTCATTGTATTAAATGTTTTCAGTTGTTGTATGAGGTTCTTAGTCGTTTAGTTATTAGTAAAGCCCAGTGAAGGATTTTTTTGGAGAGATAGACTACTTTATTTTAAAACAACATGTTTTTACTCTGCATGTGATATCTATGCACTGAAAATCATCTACATTGGCATGTGGTGTCTACGCAGAAAGAAATGTGAGCTTGTCAGGTTTCCCTGAGATGACCAAGTGCAAGGGTGGGCTTCTGTGAATCCCTATCAATACACACCCTCTTAAGGCCTACCTCCTTGACAATATGTTTTTTGTAGCCCTGAGGAGATAACAGTGATTAGAATCTTCTCTCTGGATTTACTCACTTTTCCTATGTTTTCCAGTCCAAGTGTCCAATACTCCTATCAAGTCTTTATATCTTGCTATCATCTCTTAATAACTCAAATTTTTCTTTTAGTTTGGTTGTAGGCTCTCCTGGGAAGTTGCCCCTGGTTATTTTGGGTTTTGATAAGCTATTGCTGAATTTAGGTACAATCAACACGTTCAATTCTTTTATATCTCCTTCTGGCAGTCTTCTTGATGTTCCCACACTGAGACATTCGCATTCCCTTCTCATTCATAAATGTAATCTAAATGTTTCAGTTGCAGGTCCCTATATTTACAGTGTCAGTCTATCCATATTGTTACTGCATCTCCTTTCCTTCATTTAATTGTTCACTAAAAACTGATTGCCTTGCGTTCTACTACCAACCAGCAGGGACTAGCTGCTCCGCCTAACAATTGTGTGGTAGTTTAATTTTTGAAAAGAGCTTTAGCAACTGATCTATGCAAGTCTTGATCTTCTGCCAATAACACTAGGAGCACTTGTGGCCAGGAAGCCAGCGGCTGGGAAAGGTAGATTTTCTCAATAAAAGCCAGATATTAATTTTCTCTGCTCGTTTGCAGAGCATTGCTACTGTGAAATGAAGTAGTCAAGGGGAAAGATAATATCCGTAATCCTCCTTATTCAAACTGCTCCATAAAAATAACAGGGAAGGTTTTGTAATGTGCACATCAGGTGGTATATTCAACTGTGCTGAGGATAACTATTTACTTAGCAAATGTTACAACAGATGGCAGTTATGGTTGTTCAGTAGTAGTCTGGTCTGGATCTTAGCAAAGCACAAGAAGTAAAATAACTAAATGTCTCCATCCAATCTCCTGCTCTATAATACTTTCTAAAATAATAATTTGGGTCTTCTAAAAGGGTGTGTTTATTATGTCAGATTATAGATCAGCAGGGTATAAGAAGACAGACACACTTCCAGAGAGGGAGCAAAGGTTGAAAAGATTTGCAGTAGCCCATCCCAGGCTGTTGGTGCATAGAGATTCATTTATTCATGGGGAACTTTTCATTATACCTACATGTTCAGAGTATTTCAGAATCAGTAATGGACTGTCCCAGTAGAGATATTTTGCTTTGAAGCATTCTGTACCTGGATGTCTGAAAGAAAGACTTAAAGTAAGACTAGAAAGACTTCTTTTAATGAAAAGATTAGTTCTAGCTCATCTTTGTTTTTTCTACTTGTCCTTTCCTTTTCTAATTATATTAACTATATATTTGATTACAGCTATTGCTAGTAACTTGAGAACTGCAAAAAGCAAGCAGATAAAAAAATCCAAATATACAAGATAGAGTCATACAGCACAATCATGTAATTATCAACATTTTTCATTAATTTGTATGTGATTTGTATCGTATTTCTATTTTATATACAAATTTGCCATGTTGTAAATAATACCATCTGTATTGGTATTGAAATTTCAATTATATTAGGAAAAGCTGAACCTTTAGTAAATCACAAATTTAAATCTCCACCATTAGTAATTCTTGTCATCCATAAAATTCCTAATCTTATCCTGAATTTAATTCTTAGTGTTTTATTCCCACTTCTATGTACGGGAGCCAAAGTGGTGTGTGTTCTTAATCTTATTCTATCCTATATGCATTTCCTTCTTCCAGTCTGTTCTGATTAAAGAAATTATTTGTTTGCAGTCTCACAATCTATTCTTCCTTATTCTGATCCCTCTGAAGAATCAATTCTTGCAAAATGAGCCACATTATTGTTATTATTACTTGCTATTATCAACAGTGGCTAACTAGAAATGCTTATTCTTACAACAGCTTATTCTCCACCAATGGAAAATCATATACTCTCTTCTGGAAACAACGGCACTTTAGAGTACAAGGCGTCTCTGGCCCCTATCTCACCTGGAAGATACTCACCCATTCCAAAGCACATGCTTGTGGAGGATGACTACACCAGGTCAGATGCTTTTCTTTTTTTTGTTTGGTTTCATGGCAATTAAAATGAACATAGGTAAAACACTTAGTGCATCTCTGATGGCATATAACATGTAGCTGTTTTCACTCATGTTCAAGATGAATTAAAACTGCTACAGTTACAGAGAAACTAAGGGGAAGATCTCATAAATGCATGACCTGAAGTTCATGTTTCCTTGGTGCAGTCCTGCACTTGTTCCTAAACAACATGGCAACATTAGAGCAGTGTTGGCACTGAGAAGAGCACTCTGGTTCTTCAGAATTAACTGTGATAGTTCCTTACTGGTGCAGCTGGGAGATCTTGGGACTGGTGACTCAGCTGGCTCACTGCAGGTATGGGTGGAGTGATGGTACATGTGTTTGTACCTGTCTGTGAGAGTACTCTCTGAACAGCCCGCTTGTTTAGTTCTCTGAAAGCAAGCTGAAATACTCTATAATTGCTCTGCACACTCTGAAAGATAAATGCCATAGAGAGTAAACAGTATGAGAAAAGAAAGAAAAAGTAAACAATTTTTTGTCTGTAAATAGCTGTGAATAAATTAAGGTGTGAAACCAAAAAAAGTCTCCTAAACAATAGAAAATCACATTATGAAACAACTTTCTGTGGAAGTTAAAAGGAAGGGAGGTTAAAAGAAAACTCTATGGTGTGGTACTTGATTATATTATGAAAGGAATTCTTGTGATTATCAGCAAAATGACCATTGGAAATCGCTCCTAATCCTTCTTTTCTTTCTTTTTTTTTTTTTAACAAGTTAGGGGGATTTTATTTATTTACTTGATTTCCAGCTAGAAAAGACACAGAGGAAAATGTTCTTTTCTCTCTTAAAAGAGTTCTTTCAAGTCTTGTGTTGAGTGTCACTAATAAGACCTTGTGTCTTTTTTTTTTTTTAACGAGCACTACCAATCACTTAGAAGACAACAGTTGTTAAATTTGTGAAATGAGCCTTCATCATAATGTCAAGTACCAAAGGAAATGGCAAATTTCATTTTTTTCTGCACTTCAGTATTTACAGATTTATTATGTTTAAAGCTAAAAGGCAGGCTGTTTCTGGTTATCTAATCTGGCCTACTGTGTAGACCAAAGAATCTTAGCCTCTTATGCATTCACTTCATAATTTGCTAATTTGCCTTCTTTATTTCTTGTTGCATATGATTAAGATCTCAAGCTGCTTGGCTTGTTGCATCAGACAGATTCAGAGTAAATCATGATGGAGTTTTTAATCAGGTCATAAATTTATGGAAACCACACCTTGCTTCCCTGTCTTGGGTAAAAGAATTTCTACTTCGTTTTGACTGAGGATGCAAAAACAACATTGCTTTTATTCAATTTGTGAGACATTCTGTTAGAATGATTTTTCTCCAAACTATTCCAAGAAGTTACATTTTTCACTTAAGACTTAAAACTTTGGTTTCATTAAATTGTCCATCAAGGACAATTTATTTGCCTGAGTACTGACCTCATAATTCCTAAAATGTCTATATATAGGAATAATACTAATATAGTATCTGGGTTACAATGATGAAGGCTTACTTCTTTAATGAGACACTAGTGCCACTAAGACTGACTGTTCATTAAGTTTAAAAGCAGCAAAAAAATGCAATCTTTAAAGAAGATAAGAGTTTAAAAAACAAAAGCAAAAAATCACTGACAATAAAGGAAGTAAATCTAAAAAAAAGAGAAAAGGTGTCTTCAAAATGAAAGGATCATTTAAACAGCTACAAAAACTGTAAGGTGATGGATAATTATCATTAGAAGTCCTTTGTTTCTGTTCCTTGTAGCTGATTTTAACTTTTTAATTGCTTCTACTAAAAAGAAAAAGGGAGAGAGGAAGAAAGAGATACAGTGTAAGAAAAGACAGTGACAGTCCATTAGTTAGACAGGTATCCGGCAGAGAGCAGACCTTCTCTACAAGCATGTAAGATATATATTGATATTAATTAGTGTGCCTTTTTGGTCTGCTTTGGAAGACAGATGTCTTCCTAGTCCATTTATTTTTTTATTATACAAGTTAACTTTTTTGTTTTAAGCCCTGACAGTAAAACAATTTTCACTGAGGTATCCACACCAGCCACCTTCATTTTGTGGGGTTTTTTTTTGGGAAAAAAAAAGAATACTTAGCAAAACAGGATATATTATGAATATTCCTGTCCAGTATTCTTCCTGTCTAGAATTCCAGACAGAAGAGGCCAGCTGAACATGTATCAACTCCATGGCAGGCAGGTGACACTGGCAGAAATAAAGACATCGAATAATACAAGCAGACACTAAAATGCAACAGAGCAAATCAAATACAGATCTCATAGTTCTAAACAAGACCTTATTTCTGCCTACAGAAGAGACTATCATGAACTTAAATGTGCAAGTGAGAATAGTGTGCTACAGTGATATTATCCAGGATACAAAAGCACAAAGACAAAATGAATACTGTGATGTATTTTAAGAAAAATGTCATTTCTTGCTGCTGGATTTCCTCACTGAACACAAATCATATGCACTGAAAGATACCTGAACAAGAGCCAGGAGAGACCAGGTTTCTTCTCTAACTTCTATGACCGAGAAACTGTGACCTTCAAAATGAGCCTTGAATGAGGCTGAGGCAGTTATTTTTTTAAATAATATCTGTGTAGCTGATTATTGTGTATCGATTTAAGTGTTTAACTATTGAAAATGCCACTTAATACTCATTGCAATCTTCAGAGTTATAAACAGGGAATAGTGATTGCACTCTACCTATGCAATACCTTAGGATTTGCTGATGAATGTGCCTTTAAAATGGGAAGATATTTCAAAAGTCTTTGTTGCTGACCATTTTAAGAAAGACTTAAAATCTTTTGGGAAGTTAATTATCATATTGATAATTCTACTGAACCCTATAGATCCCTTGATTGCAACATTTATAATTAGGTTTCTTCACATAATTTTTTATAATTAAGATGATTGCCAACTACTGCAGTGCTATCTATTAAAATTACCTGGTTCTTGCTATAATAGGTTCTCAGGGGTAATTTACATGGTGATCACATAAGGAAATTTATTATCCATGCAATCATAGTATGGCAACACTTCTGGCAGATTTTCATTTGTGCCAGCTAAAAATATTTGGAACAGCAATTTCAATAGACATTTGCAATCTCATTGTACATATGATAACGCTGATGACAAGCTTTCACTAAACGTACTTGCTGTAATGAATCTATTGGTAAACATGAAGTGGTTGAAGGTTTACCATAATTTGCCCACGTTTTCTCACTTTTCCTTTTCGTTGGATTTTTTTTTTTTTTAATGTATTTTATTCAGATTCAGGATTTTTTTTACCTGAATACTTGTTGGTTTTTGGGTTTTTTTTTTTTGTCCAAAAAAATATGTGTTTCCGGTGATAAAAATTGTATTCTTTTGGTCTGATATTAAATCTGCATCTGAAAAAAATATATCTTTCAGTATATCTTTTACTTAATTGAATTTAATTGAATTACTTAATGTGAGCGCAAAGGACAGAAAAGTACCAAATCATCTTCAGCCATAAGTTTTAATGAAGCTGAATGTCATTTTTAAATTACTAGGCTTTTGTAAGTTATGTACGATTTAGCCCAGAATGCTGTCAGTGAAGGGCATAATTTACTTCTATTTTTTTTGTTGTTGGATTCATTTTAAATTCGCTGGGGAATGGAAGCATTGCTTTCCACTATTAAAAAAAAAAAAAAAAAAAATGTTGCATTTTGAACTTGAAATAAAATAGCAACATTTCAGGTTAATAGAATGTGGTATTTATCTGTTTAGTACAAAAATATACGAGTTCCTGGTAAGACTGAAGTGTTGCGCAGGCAGTTTGGGACATTCTTTAAGTGTGTTTGCTGACAATTTCCTAATGATCCTTGATGGAATAAAGAAGCATAATTCTCTGCTTGACTTGCTTCTCATGAAGAGGGGAAAATCAGTCTAAAATGTGGTAGTTGCTGGGATCATAAGTTGGTTGAGTTCATGATTCAAAGAAGTCTGAAAAGGCAGTCAGCAAGTTATGACTGGAGTCTCCAGAACTGTCTTCAGCCTTTTTGGAAGACTGCTAAGCAATATTGCTTGGGATCCTGCCACAGAGATATACAGCCCATGAAAAATTGATGATTTCTAAATAAAACTTACTGAGAACTCAGGAAGAAACCGTCCTGTTTGGCAGGAAGACAAGAAATTCAGCATAAGGCTTCCTAGGCTAAGCAAAGAACTTCTGAGATATAGACAAGCTTTCCTTGCCTGCATAGTGATGAAATCAGAAAGCTGATGAGTTTGAGCTAAGTTTTACAGTGGTCATAAAGAATAACAGAAAGTAATTCTGAAGGTGTGCTCATTTCAAAAATGACAGTAAAATTTGATGGAGGGCAAAACTGACTGGGGAGACAATGTAATGGCAGACAATATAGAAAAAGCTTAAGTACATCATCATCATCTTTGCCAGGCACTGAAGGGACCAGGAAGAAATTTACCAAAAGCAAATCATGTACTTGACCAGCCTGACTGCCTTTCCTGATTAAATGACAAGCTGTATGGATGAAGATTGCTGTATGCAATGACTGTCCTGTACCAACCAGGGCCGTAGTGCAGGGGGCTCCCTCAAGCAAGAATGGCTCTTTGTTGGGTGAAAATACAGCTGGCTTGAAAGGCCCATGCCATAACTTACACAATGTGTAAGTTCTACTGTGGGGTGCATGGCAATACTGCACCATTAGCTGCCTTGGGGATTGGCTGCAAAGGTATTCCAGACCATGACAGTCCTCTTCTCTGGGGAGATCAGAAGCTGCAGAATACAGGGAACATACTTTAAAACTCCTCCAGTAGCCTTTCCTCTAAATGTGAGAAAATGCTGAGTAAATGTATTCAGCTGATCTGAAGCTGAAGCTGGAAAGAAAGTATGATTTGGAAAGCTTTGGAGTCCTTCTTGAGAGCTTTTTGGATGTCTCCTGGATTATGTGCTGCCAGCTTGCTCTTTAGCCTTGTCTCAGCACAGCTATGAACTCTTGAATGCAACAGCAAACTTTGGTAAGACTTTTGACACGATCTCCCACAGAACTCTCATTTGAAAGCTGCACTAAAAGATGGGATTGGGCTGGGAACTGACTGAGCCGGTAGACTCAAAGGGTAGTGATCGTCATTTGACATCTGTCAGGCAGGAAGTGATGAGCAGAGCACTCAGAATACACTGGGCGTCTGTTCTGTTGAGTATCTTCATCAGTGACCTAGATTCTGATGCAGAGTGCACCATCAGCAAATTTGTGGATGATAAATTAAGGTGGAGTGGTTAACAAGACGAATGGCAGAGCTGTATTCCAGAGAGATTGAGATAAAGCTCGAGGACTGATCCATATTGACCTCATGAAGTTCAGTAAGAACTCTGAAATTCTACAGCTGGGGTGTAACAGCAGTGCACACTAATATGTGTTGTGCAACAAAGAT